AAAAGAGCCTTTTGCTCGCCTTTGATCGCGTGGTCGACCGGAATGCCAAGCGTTCCTCCTTGAAAGACGGAAGTGAACGACCCTCGCGATTCTTACTCGACGCTCTCTTGTTCTCCTCCTCTTTCTGTGTTCTAGGTCCTGGTAGATCGTTTGTGTCTTTAAATCTGTTTCCGTATAAATGCATTCGAGAATGTGGAGATCGAGGAGGTTCGCATGGAAAGGCAAGAGGAAATTGGATGGTGCATAGTGGAGTTGGTAGTGCGAGTCTTACAGATCTTTAGGGGATATCGGTTGCTATTTGTTATTTACTAGTAGACAGAGACGTTAACGGTTAATAGTTACTTTGAACTATGAGCACTAATCGTGTACTTCGTCTCTTGCTTCTATATTGGTAAATGTTAACACTAGATTTGGAGCGAGTCAGGTTGACTCATAATGAATTTTATAAACATTATTTGCTAAATGTTGTAATTTTGACTGACACCGTTATGCAAATATGTATTCTAATCGTTTACTTTTAAACCTCTAATTTCCAAGATCTAAATGAATATCCATTTTTCTAAGAACGATACAACGAACTGTACACTAAATGTCCTTAAATCTGTTAAATTGATCTACAGAAACAGACTGAACTACTAACTAACGTACAGTGAGAGTTTAAAAGTAGCAAAGACATCTTCAAGGAACTCTTTCCGTGGCTCCTTAGGTAAATTGATATGAGGAACCCATTAGCTTTACCCTCTGCGCCGAGAGATGTTGGGGTTCGCCTAGCCGCGCTCGCGGTAGGTGCAAGGACCTTCGTCCTTTCGGGAATCTTCGCCACGTGTCCAGACGCCCAGACATCCTAAACGCTCCGTCAAATATTGACACGCGAAATGTTTGGCGACCTGTGCACGCCGGTTCGCCCACTTGGGCGACCGCTCCCTCCACGAACCTCGAACTTGCCAGGACGACCTTGCCTTTCCTCCCTTCGAACTTGCTACTCCGGCGAAGAAAGCCCGCGCTTCCCGACGCTCGAACACCGCCACGGCGAGCCGGGTCGAGTCGGTCCGGGCCAGGCCGGACCGGGTTGCGCCGCGCCCGGCTAATAACGCTAATGCTACGACCTGTCGTGCGAAGAATATCGCAGACCGAATGGATTGAGAGCTGTACTAAAAGCTTTAGGGGTGTCCTGGCTACCTTTAGGATTCCGTCAGTCGGGTTCCCTCGTGTGTGAACGCTCGTCTTTAGCGGGCTTTGACTTGTTGTCGGCTAGTGCCATTGGGTATTAGACTAGGTCCTTCCGAGGCGGAGGAAAATCTTCATTGAGACTTGCTACTAGAGAAAATGTTTGTGAATATTCTAGCTGTAGGATTGTATTTGCACTATTATAGTGCAAGTTTCTTTTTATGAAATTGAATTGTGTATTTTTCTTCTTAGGGAATGAGATGTTGATGTCTCGGTATACAGCTAGGGAACATATTCGAATATGATTTACACGTTTTTATTTAGAGATTGCAAATATATTGCTACTAGAGAAAATGTTTGTGAATATTCTAGCTATGGGATTGTATTTATTATAGTGCAAGTTTCTTTTTATGAAATTGAATTGTGTATCTTTCTTCTTAGGGAATGAGATGTTGATGTCTCGGTATACAGCTAGGGAACATATTCGAATATGATTTACACGTTTTTATTTAGAGATTGCAAATATATTGCTACTAGAGAAAATGTGAATATTCTAGCTATGGGATTGTATTTGCGTTATTATAGTGCAAGTTTCTCTTTATGAAATTGAATTGTGTATTTTTCTTTTTAGGGAATTAGACGTTGATAACTTGGTATACATCTAGGGAACATATTCGAATACGATTTACACGTTTTTATTTAGAGATTGGAAATATATTTTTCCTTGCTTTTCCTTTTGGGAATTATATAGACTTTAGAGTATAGTAAGATTTTCTAAGAGTATTCTATACGAATATAAATAATCTCGATAATAAAATGTCTTCGAATAAAAATGACCGGAACGATACAGAGACAAAGAATTCAGTGCACCTTTTTCCACGCGACTCGACGAACCATTTCATTCCCAATGTCAAAAATCTCGCTGTAATTGACTCTCGGTGCCCGGCATCGGTGATAAATTCGCAGAAACACCGTTTCACCTGCAACTTGTCAACGGTAACGATCCTGAGCCGCCCGGTTCCACCGAATTTCCAGTGTCTGGACAAAGTCCTTTGTCCACGTCTGTAGCGGCCGGTGCGCGACCGTTTCGCAGAAGTTTCAGGCCGGAGGGGGGTCAGGGACCTCTTTTCGCCCTTTCCTGTCGGTTTTTTTCGTCGGCGTCGCTGTTAGCGTCTCGACGTGACCACAGGGCCACGGGGTGTACCGTCGCGACTCGTACAGCGTTTAACGAGCGGCTGGGTGACGAGCGGTTCAAACCGTTGAACCGGCGATGATGAACGTTGATAAGGTTTTATGGCCGTGTCTCATCCTGTCCCACCAATCGTGTGCCCGCGCGCTCGCTCCCTCGCAGCACACACGCGCACACGCGCGCACGCACACCGCCGTTTTTCGCTCACCTCTTCGAGTGCACGGCGAGTTACGACGCCACTTTTCGACTTACCTTCCTTCTCTTCCTGCAAGGCCTCCTTCTTTCCTGCAGAGTGCTAAGATTTGTTTATTGCTTCCCTTTTTCATTTCCGAGATGTTCCTTTCGACTCTCGAGCGATTCCTTTTTTTGGATACTGATTGAGCCGGCGAGCATGGCGACTTAGGAGATACGCGCGCTTGGCAGCTTTATATATGGTTTATCCCTTTCATCGAAGTGAATGGGAGATCGTTAGATTCGATAATAATTTGCACGACGTACATGGTTCCTTTGTACATTTGAAAACTAATGAAATAACTCGCGCGTACGATTATAAAAGTAGTTTCTGTGCACGTTAGAAGGTGATTAAAGACAAAATAATTCATGCGAATACAATGATAAAAAGATATAAATTTCAGTAGAAACATTCGACACTTTCCGATGAGACACAGGCGACACTACTTGAAACGAACTAATGAAACAAACGTAAATTAAGAAATAAAGCTGTTTTATATAAATATTTCACATATTGACGCATTACAGAAAACTTAATATTATATACACTTTGTAATTTTGTTATATCAAATCGAATGGTGAATGAGAATCACCTCTCGAGTGCAAAGGGTTAAATCAGACTGTATAATGTTTCTCATATCCAAATCTCAACAACACAGTCGTTCGGATCTCGTAAAACCATCCAGTTCCAAACTGAACCTCGTACTTCCCGTAACATCCAGTTACAATCTCAAAACACTCCCCCGAATGATACGTAAATCAGAGAGCTCCCGATGCAATTTTCCGGAATCATTCGCGCAAACGAGGAACGTCAAAGGGAGCGGTTCCTTTTCAACCGCGAAAAAGGGAACGTCGCGGATAATATTCCGTTTGATAATCTAACGTCGGAGCCGGGAGTGATTTCACGGGACGCGGTTCGCGATTTTGCAAAATTTTCGAAGACCCGGGGGCGCCGGGACTTCGCCGAGCGTGACTATAAGAAATTTTCCAGTCTCGTACACTTTCTGAATGGGGCGGGGACTCGTAGCTGGAAACTCGGCGCTGGAAGTTCCGTGCCTCTTCGGGTCTCTTTCACGCATCACGTACGAAATTGACTGGAAGCGGGAAGTTAGTCGATACTTTCGTACATCGCTGTGAAAAGCGGCCGGGCAGGTCCACCGTTGGCGGAGGTGTCCACCGGCGATGCGCCGTTTCTCAACGAGCGAGCGAGAGAAAAGACGAATCTCGAAGAGAAACTGCGAAAGAAGCGTCCGGGACATTTTGATAAACGAGAAGGAAAACGCGAAATTTAACATTTCCAGTCTTTCGAAAACCGACGCGGCGGTGTGACGTGTGAATTCAGGGACTTCGCACCATGTCCACCATCCCTTTTATATTTTCCGCTGGTAACTTCATTCCTGACTTCACCGCGCCCTTCACGGAATTCTGAGTTGCACGCGGACGGAATTTTTATCGGGGAATTTCTCGGCGTTCCTGAAACTGAGTGGAGTTTTTTGGGAACTGATTCTAGATGCGTTTTGAGTTTTTTATTGTTTTGGAGATTGTATTATTGACCTGTGATTAATTTTGCAATTTGCATTAGGTTCTTGGATGCTTTGAATCGAAGGAAATAGTGTCTTACGAGTTATAAATATTTTTGTACACTCTCTGTGGACAAAGTTAATTATAGGATTAGTAAAAGTATTGATTATTTATCTGGGTTTCTTCTGCTTTTGATATTTTAGTTAATAATGAAACATAGAATTAAGAACGAGCAGCACTGTGTTAAGATTGTTTATGTATATTACGAATCTATATTTAGTGAAAAATTGGTACAACCGTTAATATTTCAACGTTCCTTTAAAAAAATCAACGTCGTCTCGCAGTGTACATTGGCGCAGTTTCCTAGAGCCGCAGTTATCTTAAGCGATATTTCACGGAACGTCTAGATCCCTCAGGAAATGGTTTGGGAAGGAATGCTCCCCGCAAAAAAAAGCGCGTATCACTTATCACTGCCACACAGATTACGACGTGGTTCTCGTACGCGTTTCGCTCTCGAGTACAACACAGTATTCGTTCTATTGCCTCTTTCGCCGAAGCATTTCGGAATAGTGCCTTCGCTCTCAAACACCTATTCCGAAATATAAAACGACCTCAAACGCTGTCTCATGGAAACCATTGAAATCGTTTGCTCCATTGAAAAGTCGCACCGATGGTCTCATTAAAAGAAAAAAACATTCACGAGAATCTCATGGAATATTTATGAAGAACTCGAAACCAAATCATGCAATGGTTTTCTATCGGAAGCTGAATTATTGCAAGCGATTAAATACTTCCGAGCGATAACATGGCCGACGATAATGGCGGAAGCTTTAGCTCATAGTTAATTCTCGGTAGTACTGCTTTTAACGGTACGGTGTTCGCTTGTTGACAGTGAGCGCAAGCAGCTACATAGTGTCAGTGGTGCTCGTCCTGGTAGTCGGAGCACTGGTGGGTGTCCTGGCGACGGTATCGCATCATCTTCATCATCGCCGGTTGCTGCTGCACGAGCCGGCCTCCGCCTCGATCTTGCATCACCATCGGCACCATCATCATCGTCATCATCGCGAGGAACTGCCGGCGTCACATCAGCGACGTCTCCTGCTGCAGGATCACCATCGTCATCCTGGCACACCGGTGAGTCTTTCATTGCTTTTCAACGAGGATACCCGCGCAGATTTATCGATCGTTCATCTTGCTAGTGTCCTGTTTCTTCCGAAGAGGCAAAAAGGATCATCAGATACGTTAAATAATACAAAACATTGTATCAGCCCCTAAAGAATATTTATCAATCGAAGAATACCGAAACTCGATCAATTTAATCACTAATATTTTAATATTCCTAGAATTTCTAAGCATTTTTAGGTATCTAACACAGCTAACCTACGAGCAGATGATCCGCTTATCGACTCGAACATCTCAAACAATTTAACGTGAGATACTCGCCACAGAATCCACTCGAATCTTCAAACCATCAGAAAGGAGAAAACCATGATTTCTCATTTGTCTGTCGCCTATTTACTCAATTTCCTTTCCACCGTTGTTCCCGTATTACTTCAAATTACTTATCGCAGAGCCGCTAATTGCGGAACGATCAGTCCACTCGCCGCTGTCTTATCACGGGTCGCAATCTCGGCGCAGCTGCATCTCAAACACCTCGTCGAGAAATCCGTCGGCCACGTTTTCCGCGTTCCATCTCGGCATCCCGGCGCATACCTGACGCAAATCGTAATTCTCGATAGCGTGCGCGATCGCTCCTCTCTCGTTATTGGATCGCGGGCGGCGCGGCCGACGGGGGGGCAACGGAAACGCGATTTCCCATCCGAACGGAGGTAGTTGCGGGCAGCAGCGTCGTCGACCTTCGGACGAGATTATTACGCGATTCGTGGAACGTCGAAGGCTGTCTGGAAAAAGCTGCTGATATCTAATCTCGGACGGGATGGTAGCGCAGCTGCGCCTATCTAGCCCACATGTTTTCCTCTCGGTGCCCGTCTGGAAAACCAGACCGCGGGCTCTCCCGCGCGCCCACATTCCATCCACTTCTTCCATTCCCCTCTTTCTCTCTCTGGCGCACGGTTTCCGATCGCTTTCCCCTTCGTTTTTGCCGCCGCGAGCAGGTGTTGCTGCGAAAGAACACGTTGCTCTAATTTGGAACGACGGACGGTGAGCATCAATCGCTGCACGCCGACGCGAGGACGCTTTAAATGGAGGCTACACGTGTGGAATTTAATTGTGAAACATTGCTGGGTTCGACGCTGGTGGGATTAATCTTAGAGGGGGGTTTCGATCATTAGGATGATTTGAATATTGACTTTCCTGGACGTTCGTGAGGGGATAGTATATAGCTTTTCGTTTCATTGGGAAATGAATATTTTCTATAGAGTTGGGTTAGTTGGAAGATGTAGTATGATTGTTCAATTTCCGAGCTTCTCAAAGGCTTTTCTGTTAAAACACTTAGTTTAAATATTTCGTGGAAATATTAGGAAGTTCAGCACATGTGAATCACGAAAAAGTTTATAAATTTGTTTCGCGAGAAACGCGTAGCATAAAATAGCATCGAATTACCTCTTCGCCTCGACAATTCGGAAACATAACTTCTGAATTAACCACGAACGACTTCGCCCGATTCCGCTCGAAACCGTAAAACACGTCTCAACAGTCAAATACCCAATTCCCAAAGAATAATTAAAAAATTCTCGTCGCCAGCGTCAAGATCCTCCGCGTTGTCCTTTTGTTCGCCTCGGTTCGCCATTCTAACCGAGCTTTCCTCCGGGTTTTTCGTTCTCGTGGATCTCTCGGTGGCCGCGCGGAGGAGCCGAGAGAACCGACGATCCTCCGCGTCGCTTCCACAAAAGATTTATTTCCAGCGGACGCGACGAGACCGCGATAACATCAGCGTCGCAGACACGGAACCGAGCGAAACGGGAAGACGGAACGGATAGAGACACGGAATGTGCCCCTGATTCGATTTGTCTCGCTGCTACGACGCGCTTATGGCCCTGACGTCGGACTTCCGGAACACGGGACGTATTGTTCGCCCCGGCGAGAGAGATCCTCGGCAGACGCCTATCGATCCGGCACTCTCCGCCGGTCTAGCCGCTCGATTCTGTACGCGCCTCGCCGCGCCGCGGCCGCCTGTCGCGTAAATGGAAATTAGTCGCCGGATTTTCACGTGTACGGGAATTAGAGTGGTTTGTCGCCGTTCGGGAATCTTATTGATCATTCCGTGACGGCCGCCGAGCGATATATGCTGGATTTATCGCGTTAGTCGGCGCTCCGAGGATTTATGGGGAATAAAACATAGTCGATGGAACTGGAGACGTTGGAATTCAAATATTCCCGATGAACCGTTCGTGTTTTAGGTAATTCCTTGTGTTGTGTTCTTGCTTCCCAGTCTCTCGAGTCCTCTTTCGTCTGCGTCTACTCGAATTTCATCAAACAATTCCATTGTTACTGATTTCCTTCAGGAAAGGGTTCAAAGTCGCTGATATCGGATAACTTGATCTATACGTATTCCACACTTCTAATATGTAGTTTAATAATTACATCGAACATTTGTTATCAAATACCTGTTTTTCCGTATATTCGTACAAAATTTCTAAACATTTCGAAAGTTCAATCCGTCAGCAGTCTCTCTCTAATCAATACATCACGCGAGCAGGTCGAAAAAAGTAAAGGAAATTACCTGTTTCTGAGAAACGATCGCGAACTTCCTCGACCAACAAACGGGTCGTTCACCTTATCAAGAAGACAGAACGACCGAATGGACGGATAGGTGCCTGTTCACTCTCGCTTTCTCGCAATAAAAGAAACCCGCGTTCCAGACGTCTCGCGCGTCTCGCCGAGGAGACTTTTCCTATGGCTAACGTCGCCTCCTCGGGGTAACCTTGTCCGTCCAAGAGAAAGCAAAAGGATATCGCGGCCGGTAATCGATATCGCTCGACAGCCGGCGCTGGCAGAAACGTATCCCGCCGAGGACTTTATTTTACGCGCGCGCCGAGAGGCTCGCTCGCTTCCCAGATGGACGACGTTCCGTCACGGCTACCGGGGAGAGTTAACCCTTTGCGGCCCGAAGAGTTCTTGGTTTTTCACTGTGGAACTTCTATCAGCGTTCCTTAACACTAGACTCACAGGACCCGTCAATTTAACGGATATCAAACTCTTCGAACATTATTTAGTAAAGGTCAAAGCTGATTTTAACGCAATTGCGCATCGTATTAATGTAATCATGCATCTAGTGATCGATCCTAATTATCTCTTATGCGATTTCAATTTCTAAGATTTAAATTTAATATTAACTTAAGTACAGTTAATATTAAATTATCACGAATAACGACTATAGTTGTATACATTCTTACCTTAATAGATAAATATTTGGTATTTGAAAGAAAAGAGTTCTCCCAGAATAGATCACGTTTCGAAGAATTTACCAATTCAAGTACTGTTCGACATGGCACTTTATTTCTTTGAGAACATCTGGGAGCTAATAATATTGTACTTGCACACGATACGATTATAATATTGTAGCTAGATGTATAAGAAATTGATAAATTGCTCAATTATTCGAATAAAATTGAATGTCTAGCCTCTCCTGATATAAGACCAAGGGTTAAGGATTTCGTACCGGTATATCCAGGCCATCGATACCACAGCCGACGGAGGCCGCCGCGCCGTGGTACGCGGAAAATGGAATTTTCGAGTGTTCGTCTCGTACGTGACACGAATTCAAGCGCCGCGGCAGCGGCGGCGGCGGCGATCACCCGCCACGATTCTCTTGTTTCCCCGTGTGCACGCGCGTCTACGCGAGAGGATGCCTGACACGTGCAAGTGAAAGGTCGGATTTCGTAGGAGGCGAAACGCCGCCTCGAAGAATCGACGATACCGACACCGGCTCTCCTCTTCCTATACGCGTGTCCTCGTCCCCTTTCTTGGACATCGCGAGCCCGACAACACGCGATCTTCGATGTTCTCTCATTGTTGAGGCTTTTACGTTTGGCAAGGGGGATGTCGAAACGATGGAACATTTCGATGAAATATCGTGGGAATGTGGTGTCTACGAAGCGTTTGATGCGAAGCTGTTTTATCGATGATCTTTAGATATTCAGATAATTTTTGAGTCGAGGCTGAGACATTTTTTAACGTTCCAAATTGTAGAATTTCAGTAGTTTCGCTTGATGTTTGGAATAACGGAGATGCTCGGGGCGAACACAGTGGAGCACTTTGAATATTGAAATATTGTTAGGAAACCATTCTTCAAGAAGAGAAATAATGCGATCAATATTTACATATTATTCTATCACTAAAAAAGAAGCAAATTCCTTTCTTTTAAGTCGCATAAACGATCTAATTCCTCGAAACAACACCTACCCTCTACATTTACAACTGAAGACATTCAAACAATGAATTACCAAAAAACTCGCATACAAAAGAAGCTTAAAAACTCCATCAAATTATAATTATACACCAAGTTCCCTCCAACAGTGTCCACATTTCTCCGTCCACCATAGAAAACCGAAAAATCCTCCAATCCTACCCCAACGCCGTCCTGAATAAAACAATGCAGCACGACCACCTTATCAGCAAACTATACCAACCTCCTCGTCCCAAAGAAGAACCAGTCCTAACCAACAGCCATCCTCGAAGTATCCTCTTTATCAGCGGTTTCGTAGCGTCGAAAAGATTCGTCGGCGCGCTAAGTCCTGCGGGGTAGCCGGTGACGGGCGTAAAACCAGTCCAGCGGGTCCCGGCAAGGGCACGCATAGATTACGAGTTAAATGGTTTTAGGGGGTAAGGGCAGATCGACGGCGGCGCGACGCGACGCGTCCAAAAGGAACGCGTCGAGCGTCCAGACGGCCCCGCGACCCCAGAAAAATCGGCCCCGGACGGTCATTACTTGCCGCGCGACACGCCTTTTTTATCGGCGATATCGTTACGCGTCGGGTAATTGGAAGCCATTTCAACTTCTCTTTCTCTCTCGCTCTTGCTCCCTCTCTGTTCTCCTTCTCCCGGCTCCCCTCCCTTTCCCTCGCCCCTTTCACGTCCGGATGTCTGGCCGTCTCGCCTGACCAGGGCGTAACGCGCGCGACGTGAAATTAAATCGGGTCAATTAAGAACGCGTATTAATTTTGCTCATTAAT